TTTCCTGGGTCTATGGGCAGTGACGCCTCCCAACCAAACAAATGGGGTTACCAAGGTTCTAACTGGATCGCCTGATGTCACCCCGCGGAGAAGCCAAATCTGGGAGCGCATGGCAGCGACTACTTACACTTTCCTGCCGTCTAGCTCTGATGTCTGCGCCCGGACTTGTGACCACGTGTGTGGCTGTCCTGACACTCGGCTCTTCTTGCCGGTCATTTTGTCTTTTGCCGTAACTAACATGTTTCTTGTTTTTTAGTCCAAAGGCAAAGCCCAGAAAAACACCCCAGAAAGTGAACCAGAACTCCGTGCTTCCTCTCTCCGGGAGCTCATCCTCGTCCTCCTCCTCTTCCTCATCTGAAAGTAAGTAAAGGTTCCCCACTCTTCTGTATCTGAGTGTCATCCAACAACTACAGAGCACCTCCCCTCTCCTCATCTCCATAACAAAGCAGGGAAGGTGTTCTGCTCTACTACAGATAAGACTGAAGGGGAGGACGGAGGTCAGATAGAAGACTGAAGGGGAGGACGGAGGTCAGATAGAAGACTGAAGGGGAGGACAGAGGTCATATAGAAGACTGAAGGGGAGGACGGAGGTCAGATAGAAGACTGAAGGGGAGGACGGAGGTCATATAGAAGACTGAAGGGGAGGACAGAGGTCAGATAGAAGACTGAAGGGAAGGACGGAGGTCAGATAGAAGACTGAAGGGGAGGACGGAGGTCAGATAGAAGACTGAAGGGGAGGACGGAGGTCAGATAGAAGACTGAAGGGGAGGTGGAGGTCAGATAGAAGACTGAAGGGGAGGACGGAGGTCAGATATAAGACTGAGGTGAGGACGGAGGTCAGATAGAAGACTGAAGGGAAGGACGGAGGTCAGCATTAAAGATATCAGATTGGAATGCTATGGATCGTACGTGTAGGTGAATTGTTGAAGTGCATCTTCCAGGAAAACGCATGTCTGTATTTATAACGCATGACACTGAACATTGCGCAGCTTGTTGGCCTCTTTCCCATTGACGTCCCGAGCCTTCGTCTCTCTCTTTAGTGTCCGATTCTCCTGTGGAACCCGATAACCTCTCCGCTGGCGAGGAAACGAAGACGCCGCCGCCATCTTCCGGGTCCAACACACAGAACAAAAATGACTCTGAGCCAGAAGCAGCGAGCAGCACGATGACCCTATCCTCCCCTGCCAAAGGTAACGCGATGAACCCCGCTACCGCTACTGTGCCCGACATGTCGCTACGTCCTCGAAAACGTAGCGGCTTCATCCTCACAAACGGTTACTAAACTCGGCAGATTTCTGTTCCTGGCTGCCGGGCATTTTCAGGGTCCATGCCGGAGGTCTGTTTTCTTGTTACTCTTTAACTGAGAGATGGAATCAGACCTGCCGAGGGAATGGCTGATGGAAGGAAAGGGGAGGTAGTTAGTATGGGCCTATGGGAATGGAGAGATACATAGTTTGGCCTATGGAAAGGGGAGGTGCATAGTTTGGGCCTATGGGAATGGAGAGATACATAGTTGGGCCTGCGGAAAGGGGAGGTGCATAGTATGGGCCTATGGGAATGGAGAGATACATAGTTGGGCCTACGGAAAGGGGAGGTGCATAGTTTGGGCCTATGGGAATGGAGAGATACATAGTTGGGCCTACGGAAAGGGGAGGTGCATAGTTTGGGCCTATGGGAATGGAGAGATACATAGTTGGGCCTATGGAACGGGGAGGTGCATAGTTGGGCCTACTGGGAAGGGAGGTTCTAAGTAGGGGGTATGGGAAAGAGGAGGTACTTGGGTGGGCCTATTAAAAGGGGAAGTTCTAAGTTACTTAGGTGGGCCTATGGCATGAGGAGGTACTTGGTTGGGACTATGGAAAGGGGAGATTCTTAGCTGGACCTATTAGAATGGGAGGTACTTGGTTGGGCCTACAGAAAGGGGAGGTACTTAGTATGGGCCTATGGGAATGGAGAGATACATAGTTTGGCCTATGGAAAGGGGAGGTGCATAGTTTGGGCCTATGGGAATGGAGAGATGCATAGTTGGGCCTACGGAAAGGGTAGGTCCATCGTTTGGCCTACTGGGAAGGGAGGTTCTAAGAAGGGGCTATGGGAATGGGAGGTACTTAGTTGGGCCTATTAAAAGGGGAAGTTCTAAGTTACTTAGGTGGGCCTATGGAAAGGGGAGATTCTTAGCTGCACCTATTAGACGGGGAGGTACTTGGTTGGGCCTACTGGGAAGGGAGGTTCTTAGTAGGGGCTATGGGAAAGGCTAGATACTTCGATGGGCCTACAGAAAGGGGAGGTGCTTGGGTGGGCCTACAGAAAGGGGAGGTACTTAGATGGGCCTATTAAAAGGGGAAGTTCTAAGTTACTTGGTTGGGCCTATGGAAAGGTGGGATTCTTAGCTGGACCTATTGGAAGAGGAGGTACTTGGTTGGGCCTACTGGGAAGGGAGGTACTTAGTAGGGGCAATGGGAAAGGGTAGATACTTAGATGGGCCTATAGCAAGGGGAGGTACTTAGGCCTCTTAAAAGGGGAGGTTCTAACTTGGGTCGATGGGAGAGGTAAGTTTAATTTATTGGGCCTATGGAAAGGGGAGGTACTTAGCTGGGCCTACTGAAAGGGAAGGTTCTCGGTAGGACCTGTAGAAAGGGGTCTAACAAGGGGGAGGGGGGTTCTCAGATGAACCTATGAAAAGCAACAGTACTTGGTTGGACCTTTTGAGGAGGAGAAGTAATTAGTTGGGCCTATGGAAAGGGGGGTTATTTAGTTGGGCCTTTGAAGGGTGGTAGGTACTGAGTTGAGCAATTGGGAAGTTCTTAGTTGGAACATTTGAGGAAGGGAGATATTTAGTTTCACCTATGGAAAGGGGAGATACCTGTGAGGAGAGGATGTACTTGGTTGGGCCTGGGAGGAGGGGGAAGGTACATAGTTGGGCCTGGGAGGAGAGGGTACGTAGTTGGGCCTGGGAGGAGGGGGAAGGTACATAGTTGGGCCTGGGAGGAGAGGGTACGTAGTTGGGCCTGGGAGGAGGGGGAAGGTACATAGTTGGGCCTGGGAGGAGAGGGTACGTAGTTGGGCCTGGGAGGAGGGGGAAGGTACATAGTTGGACCTTTTGAATATTATCCGTATGCTTCCCAGTCATGTAGCACAGTATGGTGGAAGGGTCACAGGTATGTGTGCTGCATTACAGATTGTTTGGTGTTTAGGAAGGTCTCTGATTGTAGTTGTGACGTTCTATCTTGTCCTCCGTATATAACCAGAGATGTTCTTTGTCCCCCAGTGGAGCAGACCAATGGTCCTCTTGTGAACGGGAATGGAGGAGACGCACCAAAGGCCAGAAGAAGAGTCCTGAGTTCCTCAGACGCTGAAAGTGCAGCAGAACCACAAGAGAAGATGCAGGAGGAGGATGAGGATGAGGATGATGTGGAGGAAGATGCAGACAAGCCAGCCCGCTCCCCTTCTGTCAGAGATTCTGGGTCGAGCTCAAGTTCAAAGAGCGAGTCCGAATGTACCTCAGACTCCGATTCGTCCCCCAAGTCCGACCAGGACTACGTCGACGGCGACCACGATTACACCAAAGCAGCGCGGACGAAACTTAAGCGCAAGCTCCCGGAGATCACCGGCGACAAGAACCCCCAAAAAAAAGGACGCGGACGCGGGAGGGGCCGGGGGAGGGGCCGAGCGAAAGGTTACAGTTTGAGAGGGGTGGAAGCCAAGAAAGGACGAGGTAGAGGCCGAGGACGAGGCCTGAGCAAGACCCCGCAGAGCCCGGCCGTCAAGACGTCCGACGAGGAGGACGAGGGAGACGAGGAAGAGGCCGGCGACTGCGACGAGAGCGATTTCGTAGAGCGGGAAAGAAAAAAGCGCCGTATCAACACCCGCAACCAGGGCAGGCGGACTGTGCTGTACAACGACGACGACTCGGACGCCGACCGC